AACGTTCTCGATGATGTTGAAGTCGGGGCTCTTGGCAGGCCACACCATTGTCGAGACGTTCTTAGCTTGAAGGAATACCTTGGTGAGCCTGGCTGCATGAATTGATGCATTATCCTGCTGGAAAATAGGTAGCCATGTCAGTGTTTCCATACATCGACACTCCAGCCCAGATCATCACGGTTCCTCCACCGTTGACTTGCTTCGACATGAGTTTCGGCGTCACCCTGAGCCCGACAGACCAAGGTATTAATCGCACGACATTCGGCGAGCGAGGAGCAACAACAATGGACCTGTACCGATGAATTGGCGATATCAGGGTGCCACCAAAGGATCAGTGTTGCGCCGAAGCTTATGTTTTTCCTCGGGCTAGATAGTGTCTGATACAGCACAGGCAGACGCAGACAGCGAGACGAAGCGCGACAAGGTACAACTGCTCTGCCAATGGGGCAAGGACTGGATAGCACGCGTTTGAGCATGGTTTGCGCGAGTAATAGCGAAGAAGGTTTTTCGTCATGGATCAGATAGCGATCAACGTTGTAGACATCCAAGAGTTTGTGAATGTTCTACGAAAAACACGAGGGACACGCACAGGAAGAGTGCACAGCGACTATCACAGCAGTGTCCGAAACGAATAGATTTTATGCAACGCATGCTGAATGTTGATTCTGTAGGACTGCACCCGAAACACGGTCCTGCATCCAAAAAGATTTCCTGCAGCAGCTAGGTCCAACAAAAATATCCTGCAAAAATTGAATACATTCTACCAAATGTCATAAATTTAGGTACATTCATCATTTTAGTTGTGTTAATTATATAGAAGAATACCAATCAAAGCGAAGGGAAAAAACAGTGACTAGGCGCTCTTCGCTTGGCTGGGCACCCTTCGATACCTCCCCTCCCCCCCCCGGTTCTCTTCGCTCACAGTATAAAGATAGGATGCACTGGAGAGTACAATGCGCGACCCTGCTTCACGGGCTCCTCACACGGATTTACTGCGGCTACACGCGCTCCCACCCGCTCGCCTCGGTTGGTCTATAGCGCTAGCGTGCTTACCGAGCCATATATAACGGGTAGCGTATTCTTAAAATGCCCATAAAAACGACCTGCAAGGGACTGTTGGTGTATAGGACTTAACTTTACGACAAATGTCGCTCCGGAACTTGAGGGCAGGGCGACACTTGTGTAACACAATGCAAATTTGGGTCTGATGTAAAGTTAAGTTCTATACATCAGCAGTCCTTACCTTCGCAACACCTAGATCTCAACACAGCTGGATGCCTGTTTCACTCTGCTGATCTTCACCGTCTAGCTGTCCTTTGTCCCAGATCTTGTCAGATCTGCGGAGTAGGTTTCATATTATAATAAGATAACGACTAATCTCTCCCAATCACAGGCCACCTGCTCCGGATCCCTACGATTCCAGTCGCCGCTTGGTGGAAGTATGTGCAGGAGCTTGATCTATCTTGATCTGACTTCCGCAGGTCGCCATCATGGTCGTACGTATTTGGATCTCCTCATTCTATCCTCGCAGCCGAGATCCATGGGATCCACCCGCACATACCCAGGATCCCGGATTCATAACGCCAGATCGTAGACCCGTAGGATCTAGCCCACTAGGTTTTGATTTACAATCCATAGCATTAATTGGGGCAGCAACATCCTTTAGAGTTTATCCAATCAATCTTCACCCCAGTCGTGCCATTCAGGTCACTAAGGTTTAAGATCTTTAAGATCTATCTTTATGCAGCTTCGGATTTTGACACAGCCCCCCCCCCCCCCAAAAAAAAAAAAAAAAATCTCGTGTCTGTACGATCCAGCCCTAGTGTGTCTTGATTCATGTTCTAAAAGATGATTTGAGTCGCCGCTGTCACCCAGAGCCTCGCCCAGGGGGCTTTATCCAAATCTATCATCCTTAACCCCAATTCCATCTTCACATCGAAGCCAACGTTATAGCTAACCCGGAATAGTGATTGATCGTCACTCCCCATCTTTCTCATTCCTTGGAAAACACATCGTCACACATACGTGAGTACGTGAGTATTTGTGAGGCGTGAACACGGTGAGAGTCCAGGGGTCAGAAGAAGAACGGTAAGCTTATGCCGATACCTACTCCAGAGGAATGCTGGGATATAATACCGATGGACTCCATTAAGGCTTACCTGCGTCTAAATTATACGATGCTATATTCGCTGCAACGGCCAACTTGACAATTTATCCAAGCAAGCGAAATACACACCGACGGGTTCGGCGGTAGTTGCATCGAATGTCTTCTTTGAGGATTTGGTGAGGCATCACGGGTTGCCAAAGGTTATCATCCGTTCTAGTGACTCAAAGGTCCTGTCGGCATTTGGAAGTCATTGATGAAATTTTAGCGGGGTGCATTCCAGTGTACCCAAGTTATATAACAAGCGACCTGTCACTCTTCCAATTACCTGATACATGATACCAGAGACTCTAGGAACCATGTATAACTACATAGCTTCAGTTTAGGTGACATATGGTTTGTACACTCCGCGCCAAGACATTAATGTCCACCCACATTTTCCCCGGTAACTCCGTCAATTTTACGAGTTACGCCACGCTAGTTAGATATGTTATTTGCACTGTAAAGACACTTCGGGGGGCTTATTTTAACGTCTGGGAAAGTGCAGTTTAAGATAGGGCTGGCACCATTTCTAACACTGCGACCAATATACGGCCACCTTCGAATCTATACTAGAATCAAGTCAACCAGAGTGATGGTCACAATCATGAAACCTGCAACTATAACCAGTGATTTTCTTAGACCGCGAGTCGCACCGCAGTTAGTAGCCCGTGCCATTCTGCATTTGATGGGAAAGGGGCCGCCCCAAACGGACATTGAGCGAGGAAGGATACTCGGCCTTTACGAGTCAGGATTTAGTCTAAGGAAGATCGCACGCCATGTGAAACGCTCAAGAGACGCTGTTCATCAAGCGCTTTACGTAGAGCAGGACGAGCGCCCGAAGCTGGGCCCTGTAGCTTTGTTTTCTGATCGTGACTTCCGTCTTCTGGTCCGGACGGCGTCGAAGGGACTTCTATCGGTCAGACAGCTCAACGTAAAGCTAAATCTAGCGGTATCGGTACGTACAATCCAGCGGACGCTTGCTGGTGTTGATTGGCTCGTGTATACGAAGATGAACAACACGTTGCTATTGTCTACCAAAGTCCAGGGAGGAGTGGGCCTGGGATATGAACTAAGTCCCTCTTCGGTCCTGAGATTCCATTATCTTCTCAGACGAGAAGAAATGGAATCTCGACAGGCCGGATGGGTTTAAAAGCTACCGGTGTGATTTGCGGCGACCTCCTCGACAGACAAAGCGCCGACAAGCGGGGGAGGTTCGGTCATGGTGTGGGCGGGCTTTGGTGCCGCCGACAAGACCAAGTTGGCGGTGCTCCACGGCAAGCAGAACTCGGACGACTACGTCCATACAGTGTCCGAATTCCTCTTGTCGTTCTCTCACCTGCACTATGGCACGGACTTCACATACCAACAAGACGGTGCGTCTATTCATCGGTCCTATAGAACAAAGTAGTTTTTCGCTGAGCAATAGCTCAGTGTTCTTCCATGGCCTGCGCGCTCTCCCGACCTCAACCCCATCAAAAACTATGGGCAATTATGACTCGTGCTGTGTATGCGAATGGAACAGTTTAACTCCGCGGCTGAATTGACGGTGGCTCTTTAGGAAGCGTGGAATGCAATTGAGATGAACGTGCTTGCGAGCTTGAACGAATCCATGCCTTGCCGATGCAAGGAATGCGACGGGGTACAAACCCCTGTGTACCCAAGTTACATGAAGAGTGACCAGTCACTCTTGTAATGCCTGGTACATGGTACCAGGGGCTCTAGGAGCCAATCATTGCATATCTACATAGCTTCACTATAGGTGACTTATAGTTTGTATTAGAAACTGAGTTAAGTTTACCTATAAATAAAAATTAGACTTAATCACTTGTCCCCTCAGACCAGGGACACGTGAACGGTCGCTCACTTAGAGTTTGTATACAACTTCCTCTGCACAAGGTGCTGTGTGACACCGTCACAATTAAGAAGCACGGTAGCAAAACCCATTACTAAAGCAGCTGTTACTTTGACCATCATTTTGGTTGACTTGATTCTAGTATAGATTCGTAGGTGGCCGTATATTGGTCGCAGTGTTGGAAATGGTGCCAGCCCTATCTTAAACTGCACTTCCCCAGACGTTAAAATAAGCCCCCGAAGTGTTTTTACAGTGCAAGTAACATATCTAAAAAGCGTGGCGTAACTCGTAAAATTGACGGAGTTACCGGGAAAATGTGGGTGGCCGTAATATCTTAGCGCGGAGTGTAACAGAAACCAAACTAAGCTTACCTATAAAATACACCAGTCTTAAATCTACACTCTAAGGAGCAAGTTGTTCCCTTTGAGGCCGGGAACAAGTGAATGAAAGGTCACTTAGGCAGTAAATACCCTTAAGTACTTCCTCTGCGAAATGTACTCGTGTTCCCCGCCGCACTGGGTAGCACTCGTAGACAACCCTCTGCCTACGCGGGTCGATGAGGTTTAAACGCTTGAGCCCCGATGGACCGAAGTGTGTTCCCTCACTTGAAAGACTTGCAGTAAGAGTCGGTTCTGAAGATTGGAGGCATCAGAGACTTTTCCAATAGTCTTTGTCGCTACTTTGCCCGCACAAAACATTGGGCAAAGATAATGTGCAGCATCCACATTACGAGCTTTCGCAGGATTCAATATCTTCAGACCAAAACCCTCCCAAATCTGTTCAAGCTCTCCACTACCAATCACTTTTCATCCCGCATGGAGCTGCTCCTCCTGCTCCCCGAACTCCTTGGCAACGCAGTTACGGCTGCGGAGGCAGCTCTGTTACTCAGCTTCGAACAACCTGAGCGTCCGATCATCCCAGATGTCAGGTTTTGCGTCACAACTCTATCGGACGAAAACTGTAGGCAGCAGTTTCGCTTTGATGTCGCCGGCGTCATCCGCCTAACGGAGCTCTTTGCTCTTCCGGAGTTCGTGATCACGGGTTCGCGCGATAAGGCGCACGCCACTGAGGCAGTGTGCATCTTGCTCCATCGCTTGAGCTACCCCAAGCGCCATTACGACATGATTCACAGATTTGGGCGCTCCACAAGCGCCCTGTGCCGTATTTGCATGCACGTCGGTACGTTCTTGCGGCGCGGCGCTCCAGCCATGGTCCTTAAAGGAGATCTGAAAGTGCTGAACTCGTGGCCACGAGTGGTGTTGGTTGTGTGAACCACACGTATTTGGTGGAGAAAGCTGTTTCCACCATCGCGATTTCTGTGGACTCCAATCCTCACTGCTGGCCTCACTGGACCGTCTCTCGACTGTTTTTTTTTTTGGCTTTGTGGGGATAATGTGCGGGTGCAGTGACTTGCGAAAAGTCTCTATCGTCTGGCAAATGTTCTCCATAGCTTGGCAGATGCGACGATCGCCGAGCAACTCGAGCGCGTGAGTGCATTTAGACTTACGAGCGTGGTCTGATCTCTCGTGTTCGCGGGGGTCTGGAGGCCTCCATGCCAGGCGGAACGTCCGAACTTGGCGCTTGAATGCACTGCAGTGCATGGACAGCGAAATCTCAGTTGTTAGCACAAATAATGCATCAAATCTTGGGTCCT